ATAAAATAGGATTACAATAATATAGGATTAAAATAAGATTAAGATAATATAGGATTAAAATAATATTATGATAACATAGGATTAAAATAAGATTAAAATAATATAGGATTAAAATATGATTACAATAATATAGGATTAAAATAAGACTAAGATTAGGATAACAAAAAAAGAAAGGATTGAAATAAGATGTACATAAACTTATCAGATTAAAATAATATTAAGAAAACATGTCAGGAATAAATTAAGTTATTTCTAACAAATGATATGATAATCTTTATGCTGAATAATATATAAAATAATGTTACAGATTTGGTGTTTTCAACAATCCTTTGAATTATGTGATAGCAGACTTGTATGCCCTAAACTGCAGGGACATAGTGTAGTGATGTGCAGTTGTGCCTACAGTAAGCTTGTTAAGTAGTTAGTTTATACTTTCAGAGCAAACTTTTAGGTTTTCTGCCTTGAGTACTGCTAACAACAGTGAATATGAATCTTATTCTTATTATTTTCAACATTACATTACAAACAATTCAATACATAGGAAAAACAATATCAAGAATAAACTATAAAATGCTAACCTAATAAAGCAAGCAGTAAAAAAAGGCAGCAACATAAAGGAGCCATTCTTCTTTTTCTTCTTTCATGCTTTTCTTCTTGATATACAAATGTTGATGACGATGACGATACAAATCTTACTATATCGCTAAATATTTCTCTGTTTATAAAGAAACGAAAATTGCCAAATTTATATTTATATTTTATCATATGTATTAATGTTTAATTTGAAGGGGCTCAAGCTCGATTAGCTTTGGCTATTTTTCTTGGCTCCTATTGCATACTATCGTACCTGTATTCTTTTTTGTTCTTTTGTATGCAATAAAGAGAAATAATAAAAAATCAGACATACAGAAAAGTATATAAATTATGCTAATATGTGACATCACCCTGTGCAAATATACCTGTGGATGGTAGGGTTGGAGGGCATGCTCCTCACAGTGATTTTGAACCATGATGCAATGTTACAAGCTGTCTCTTAAATGTAGGGTTATACCCATGCCATTATGGTATAGGTACATTAGAATAAAGGATAGGATTGTACCTGTAGGTGGCCTTATACTATATTAGTGAGGGGGGCTTTTACCTTGAGATGGGCTCGTGCCATTGTAATTCTGGTATAGGTACTACTGTACTACTATGCCACTATGGTCCAGGTAAATTGGTGAGTGGGCTAACTGTATATTTAAAGGTAGGATTATACTATAAGGCTATGGTATATGTCAGCGGCTTTCAATAGGCAGCCCGTGGGACAAATTTGGCCTGCAGCGCCACTAAATGTGGCCCATGTGAAAAAATAAAATATTTTTTTGTCCTTATTTGCTAACCTTAAACTTGATATTGGCTGATAATCGTATCTTTTATGTGACGACCTGCTTTTTGAAGAACTTGAAGACACCAAAGAAGACATGGTTTCAATACTGTTGGCTGTAAAATAGAATTTCTTTTTTTATGTATCACATAAAAAAACTGCTTACATCATATGTAAATGGGGTTTTTTGTTTGTGAATAGTGATTGTCAAATGTCACCAAATTGTCCCTGTTCACACAATTAAATTTTAAGTGACAAATAAAAGTGATGCGCCCATATTTGGATGTAACAGGTGCGCCCATATATGGATGTAACATTACATCATCATGCCCATATATTCAAGATTCATTGGATTACTCGGCAAGATTTAAAACATGACATGACATTTATGTGACATTTATTTGTCACATATAAATTTTATAGTGTAAACAAAGCTTTAAGATGAAAACCAACATAGGAACTTACTAATTAACTTAACAGGTTCAACAACTACCGTCTCCACTACTCGCCAGGTCGTTGACACAATAATAGAAATGACAGTACATACTACGTTTATAGATTTCATAACTAAATTGGAAGCTACACTGTTTGGATCAAATGACCTTTGACTTGATGAAAAACTACTACTACTGCTACTTGAACGAATTGCACTTGTCGACTCTGTATCTGTAAATAAAACCAATACTTGAGTGTATAACACAAACATGTATTCATTGATTTGGTGATGAGTGTTTACTTATCAGTTGTTGATTTATTGTGAAGTGGTAGAGGGAACGTTCCCAATAGGCAAACCGCCAGCCAATTATGATCCGAGGGAGAATTCAATCTAGTCTATGTATTTTATTTTTCTATATCTTTTGTTGATATTAATCTGTAGAACATTTAAATTTGTATGACACCACTTTGTAGTTTTTTTCACTCTTCAATTATGGTTCATTTTTTAAAATAAAACCCTCCTTTGGCCTTCTAAAAATATGGTGTAGATTAACAAAATTCTTATTTATGTAATTTAATATTACAGAAACAGATAACAATTATTTGAGCACACTTACCAGATATCTCATCCCTGTCAAGACCTAACAATTAAAACAATAAAATAAAAATGTCAGAGAGGCCATACCAAAATATTTATTAATATCATTGACAAATGTGTTAAAAAATATACAAGGTATTTTTATTACTGTATTTAATAGTTTTCAATTTTTACACAATTTTAGGTTTGTAATTTGTTTATTATTATAATACATGCAATCAAATTAATTTATACTACTTTTTAATAATTTATTTTTTGTTTTTGTAGTTCCAAATTAGAAGAATTAAAACAAATAAATAAAAAATGTCAGAAGTCGTACCAAAATATTAATTAATGTCATGTGTTAAAAAATATACAAGGTATTTTTATCACTTAATTACTTTATTTAATAGTTTTCAATTTTTACAAAATTTTAGGTTTGTAATTTGTTTATTATTATAATACATGCAATCAAATTAATTTATACTTTTTAATAATTTATTTTTTATTTTTGTAGTTCCAAATTAGAAGAATTAAAACAAATAAATAAAAAATGTCAGAAGTCGTACCAAAATATTAATTAATGTCATGTGTTAAAAAATATACAAGGTATTTTTATCACTTAATTTAATAGTTTTTAATTTTTACACAATTTTAGGTTTGTAATTTGTTTATTATTATAATACATGCAATCAAATTAATTTATACTACTTTTTAATAATTTATTTTATATTTTTGTAGTTCCAAATTAGAAGAATTAAAACAAATAAATAAAAAATGTCAGAGAAGTCGTACCAAAATATTAATTAATGTCATGTGTTAAAAAATATACAAGGTATTTTTATCACTTAATTTAATAGTTTTTAATTTTTACACAATGTTGGGTTTGTAATTTGTTTATTATTATAATAAATGTAATCAAATTTATTTATACTATTTAATAATTTAATTTAATTTTTTTTAAATTTTATATTTTTGTAGTTTTAAATTAGTGGTTAAACACTAGTTTTACCTTGAGTTATTATTATAATACATGCAATCAAATTAATTTATACTACTTTTTAATAATTTATTTTATATTTTTGTAGTTCCAAATTAGGAGAATTAAAACAAATAAATCAAAAATGTCAGAGAAGTCGTACCAAAATATTAATTAATGTCATGTGTTAAAAAATATACAAGGTATTTTTATCACTTAATTTAATAGTTTTTAATTTTTACACAATGTTGGGTTTGTAATTTGTTTATCATTATAATAAATGTAATCAAATTTATTTATACTATTTAATAATTTAATTTAATTTTTTTTAAATTTTATATTTTTGTAGTTTTAAATTAGTGGTTACACACTAGTTTTACCTTGAGTTATTATTATAATACATGCAATCAAATTAATTTATACTACTTTTTAATAATTTATTTTATATTTTTGTAGTTCCAAATTAGAAGAATTAAAACAAATAAATCAAAAATGTCAGAGAAGTCGTACCAAAATATTACTTAATGTCATGTGTTAAAAAATATACAAGGTATTTTTATCACTTAATTTAATAGTTTTTTAATTTTTACACAATGTTGGGTTTGTAATTTGTTTATTATTATAATAAATGTAATCAAATTTATTTATACTATTTAATAATTTCATTTAATTTTTTTCAAATTTTATATTTTTGTAGTTTTAAATTAGTGGTTACACACTAGTTTTTTGTGATTATTTATTGAACCATTATCATGTGCCTGTATTTTTTGTGGTATATTTAATTTATAATAATAATAATAATAGTAATAAAAATTGGTAATTATAAAATAAATGCTAAATTTATACATACCATAGAGATGGTCCAGTTGCTTATCGGCATAT